TAAAGCATCTTTTTGTTTACTTTAATTTCTTCATAATGATCTCGTCAACTTATCATTGGAGTGATGAAAATTTTTACATTGTACACAAAGCATTAGTTATTACAAAATGTCAAAACACATTTTCTTTGGAAGCCTTAAGAGAGTTTCTGGGCTTTTATTTTAACAATTTAGTAGAAAATTAGACTCRTTCTTGGTAGAAAATGGACAAGCTACTCCTCATCATAGCCATCATCTTCAGGTTGGTCTGATTTCCCTTCCAATTGCTGTAATCTCTTCTCAAAATCTGCAGAGGTTTTCTCTAAGTGTTGGACTTTTTCTGTTAAGGTTTTGACGGTTGCCAAAAGCTTGGCGACATCAACCTCCTTGTTTAAGAAACCAAACACATCAGTCATTAATAAAATAAATAATTCTTCATGTTTTGATTAGTTTGATTTGTGTTTTTCCTCAAATAAGTATCAGAAAGTATACTGACCTCTTCTTTTGCTGCTCCTGGAGTTGGTTTCTTGGCYCCTGGTTTTTTAAGCCCTCCAAGACCAAYGGTCTTCTTTTTGGTTTCACCTTTTGTAGTTCCTTTATTGCCATGGAACATAGGCTCACAAGGGATAAGTTTTGGTGGAGCATTTTTACCCTCCTCCCATTCCTCAGCAGTTAGTGATGGCTCGTCACCTTTGGTGTCTGGAAAAATGTCAGCTTGGAAGAGTTCAGACTACAAAAAGAATTCACAACTTAGTTCTTACTGTAATATACTTATTATTTAAACTTAATGACTACAATAATCCATGTAGATGTATAGTCAATCCCACTACATGTAATGTTGTTTAGTTTTAGAGACAACAATAAAGTCATTTGCATAATAATATGCAGGTTTCGTGCAAAGTTTTCACTACAAAATTCCAGGACTTTTCAAGTACTTTTTAAGCACAGAAATGCGATTTTCAAGAACTATTTTTGAAAATATTTTTTGATGTTTGCAAATGTTTCCAGTGTCGCTTTTCAAAAATAGACACATTTTAATCCAAACGGCAAATGGAAATATGTTAGTTTCATCAGATTCAAGGAATTTTCCAGGAGTTTTAGCGATTTTTCCCATTTTTAAAGGCTTTTCAAGCACCCTTGAAAACGAGTTTTCAATTCCAGGAGTTTTYAAGGATTTCAAGGAGTAGCGCGAGCCCTGAATATGTCATATCTTTAACCATTATTCGATATTCAGTTTCAATTTGCAAAACATCTTGACAATGTGAACAATATTTAATTATAAAAAWATATATTTTTATGCAAATGACATTTCTGTTGACTCTTTATGTCTTTAGAATTAAAATATGGGGTCAACTGTAAGTTGTAAGAGAATGATAAACAAAATAAATGTTACTTAAAACACAACTTAGGCAATTTAAAGGTTAAGATAATGCCTAGCACACACATATAGAGTATCTGACAGGGTGCGAGGGTGCGATCCTGAACTATTTACCTAAAATCGCACTAAATCGCACTATTGTYAATTTTACACACTATTTACAAATTTCAGAACTAATCAAACAATGCCAATGATAGACGCAGTATCCCAATGGAATATCCATCCCACTGTATAACATACAACAACAATAACAAAGAAACAAGATRATAGTATTTCATTCACWRYYTTCCATACTCAGGGGTCCAGTGACCACAAACAAAGCATTGAAMCRAGGCATCAAGGTAAAGTGAGCACAAAAGAAAAGATCTGYGCACAGTGTACCTCKATGCCTCGGTCACTGGACCTAGAAAGTCGTGAATAAGAATAGTTTCAATTAATTACAAATAGYGTATGATAATGCAAATTTATTCTCTGCACTTTTTACACTATTTTCAATTTTTTTCCCACACTCTATCAGATACTCTTGTATATATCTTGAACCATAAAGTTCTCACTAACCTTTCTTGGAACCGTGTACGAGACAGGTTGTACATTCGTCTTTGTACACCTAAAGATCTTTGCAACCTCATTCCTGCTGATATCACAACCTCTCTTTGGCATGAAACCAAAACCTCTTTGTGATTCTTTGCCAGTGTAGTTAGCCAGCCAGAAACATTCATAAGTTGGATTGGCAACAGTGCCCAACTTCACTTCRTAGTATCGTATAATACAATCACCCTAGAGGAATAGAAATTTGATTTTGAGTAATTTCTGAGATACAAAAACTCSCACACAAAAMATTCYGYCCTCTGATTAGCYGATGTTAAACCCCTGTGCTTGGAGTTTTCAACATTTTAAACCTCATGTCAAAAAAACTAATTATTTACTACCCCAATAATTATTTACTTACAGCTGCTTTCATATTGACCATTCCTTGGTTATCAAATATMATTCTTTAATCGCTGCTCATATTACATATATTATATTATATGCAACATGGATACTAGCATCRCAAATCTTTGTGTACCTACCCTTCCTATAAGCCAAACAATGTTGATATCAGCATCATATCGAATAAACTGTACTCCATTTGACTGATCAATGTCTTCTTGAGTTTGTTGCTCCAAGTCTTTCTATATATCAATACCAGAGAAAATATTATTATACAATATCAGATATGAATATATTTAGATACATTGATCATGCTTCAAATATTACTCAAACATGGCTACAATGAGTTAACTTACATTCCAAACAGCATATTGTCTCTCACTCATCTTTGAGAAGCCAGTGGTAAAAAGGGCATTGGTCTCACCAAGGAAAGCAATTTGTTGTGGTTTGCCACCTTCATGTCCTTTAGCTACCTATAAATAAGTACAAAACAATATATTTTGATCAAAATGTACAACCTTGGACAAAACATTTTGGGAACCTATTTATGCTAATTCATAGTTGACAGTCCCTGTTTGTCAATATCCTCGTCTAAATCTAAATCCCTCTTTCTCATATCAATGTTGCATTTAGGAAATAGATGGCCATTTATTTCATGTTTTTCATTAATAAATGGAAGGGAGCAAATCTTCAAAGTGCTCAAAATCACTCCAGAGACATGTTTATGCTAATATTACTACACCAACGTGTTCTTTAATAATCATTCTAAGTTTTTGAGAGATTTCTGAGAATCATTTACAGTTTTCAGTGGTTTTAGAAGGCATTATYCCGAACCTACTTTGAAACTAATTAAAATTCAAAACTGATAATGGTCTAGCACATCACATCATCCTCTGATGATAAGTTTGGGCTACCTGTGGGTGAGATGGCCGTAATTCACTGAAAACAATAGAATTCAAGATGGCGGCCMTATTGACACTAAGGTCTGTTGTTACAATACAAGGGTATCCAATGTCAAAGAACTCTTTTAAAAAACAACTGTTGTTTTACATATTCATAATTTYCRTACCTTTTTGACCTCACCACTTCTTGGATCAATAATTCGAAGATTTTTGTCTTTACAGGTCGTTGCGATCAAACTTCCATCAAAGTTCCAGTCTGCACAGAAAATTGTGTCAGGGTGGCAATCAATCTCAGATATACATTCTCCACTTTCAAGGTTCCAAATGCATATCTTGTTGTCATGACTAGCACTCAATAAAATGTTCTCTGCAGTGGGGTGCCATCTTATGATGCCCACTCGGCGTTGATGATTTTCRAGGGTCAAAAGTGGTTTGGTTAAATTTGCACTGAGTCCAGTGTCTGGAATCTCCCATATCATAATCCTCATATCCTCTGAGCTTGAAGCAATCATGTTATCATTAAACGGATTCCATTGGATGTCTAGTACATCTCCTTTGTGGCCAACTACTCTTGGCGCATCTTGTTCAATACGACCAGTCTGTAATTAAATTGACAATTAAAATAACGTCATTGTTACTTTGAGAATATTTGACACGACCCTTGCAGAACTGTTAGTCTTCTAAAGGAATAAAATAATTCAAACATCGATAACAACTATTGTCTTAATTTTGCATAGTACAGGGTTCATGCTAATTTTTCACTACAACATTCCAGGACTTTTCAAGAACTTTTTAAGCAAACAAATGCAATTTTCAAGGATTATTTTTTAAGGTATTTTTGATGTTTGTGAACATTTCCAGTGRCAATTTTCAAAAATAGACACATTTCAATCCAAAAGCTAAAAAGCAACGTACATGGCAGTTTCATCWGATTCAAAGAGTTTTCCCGGAGTTTTAGCGATTTGTCCAATTTTCCCAGGGCTTTTATTTATTCAAAGGCGTTTTTAATAAAGTTATTATTATTAAAAATACTTATTAATTTTTTTTTATTTTCCAAAACAAGCAAACAAACAATAAACTTATATTGGATTTCTTTGGTGGTTTCATTAAAATTCAGATATCATGAAGAGATGGAGAGAGGAAGGGAAAAAAAGAAATTGAAAAGTTTATTAATTAATGACCAAGACGGACGACTAAGACACAGTCTTATACAGCTGTATGAGCGCATGAGTTTATATCAAAGTTTAAGCACGTAGAAAAACATTCAAATCAAATCAACAAGCTAAATTTTGTGTATTTTCTATTGATATACTATATCAAAACGAATAAAAGTAAAGTCTTGAAGCCAGTTTTTGACTTGGTGACAAAATGGTAATGAGTAAATATCCCTGGCAGTGACCCGTGKATCATTGCTATATATGGTCATTTTTTCTAAAACTGTTTCATCTTCGGTCAGAACTCGTGGTTTCCTACTTTTGCGGAAGTCTTCTTTCGCAACAAACAAAACRGTGCTAGTGAAATAGTGAAATAACACTGAATCAAGTAAAATCGAAGCAACTTTTGCATTAACGAAACTAAAAATCACGTCCGCATGTGATTTGCGCGGATCACTTGACTTGTAAAATATCCAAAATACCTTTGCTACCAAATTAACTTACCTTATCATGAGGCAACACCAGAAAAGCTCCTCCACCAGCGGACTTCAGGCACACTGCAAGGAACTTTGGATTCACAGCAGCAATTGGAGAACCTTCCCAAGAGTTTTCGGAAACCCTGACRTTGTCGTAGATTTCTTCTCTCTTTGGGTTAGTACCGAAGATGTGGCGAAAGTGTGAAGCGCGGACGAATTTTGCCATTTTTAGACTGTAATTCTTCTCAGCTGTGATTTAGTAAAAGGGTCAGTCCTTGTAAATCAAASTTGGTGTAATATAGAAGTGGAGATAATGGACTAAACGTTCATCTACTTTCACAGTTCACACACACCACCTCGAGATGCTTTGGAAGAAGGAGGCGGAGTCTTGACAGAGGTAAACTGGGCACAAGACACTTAYTACCATAGGAATCCCAACCAGGAAGTTATCACCATTTGTATTTCTCTCCCAGTCTAAAGCGCTCAGACCCGCTCAGATTGAATTACTTAGAAAAATATGCTTCAATGAATTTGAACATGAAAATAAAAACATTTTGATACAAAAGTGTCAGTTGAATAACCCTTACAAGTTTTTACTTGAATTATGTTGGGCTCCCTGTGTAAGTTCAATGTATACCGCTTGGCGGACAAAGGTGGTTGAYAGAAAAGTTGAATCTTTGAAATTGTTTTTATACAGCACGTTAGATGATGAATGCAGACGATTTTAAGGTATATTTAAATATTGCTCATTTAAATAAAACTGCTGAAGTACTGTGATTGYTTGGAAAGATTACAGAGGACTGATTTTATTGCTTGGCAATGGCAGACTCGTTGCTCTTGAAAGCTTAAAGCTTAAAAAACTGTGTAAATCCTTACTTCTGTTGTTGTTCACTCAACAGAGACGAACTACTCAAGTATTGCAAAGGGCTTCACTTGCACAAAGGTGTGAAGAAGTGAAAAAGATTATTGAGGAATCGTCCACAAAAGTGAGCTAAGTTCAATAAAACTACCATAAATAAGTTTAAGCAACTTTAAATCTGTCAGGTGGTGCTCAGACTGTGGCAATGCTTAAGTTGAATCAATTTAAGAATAATAAATTTATATAAGGTTGAYCCCTGCATTTCATTTTAGTTAATGAAGACATTTCAAATATTTCTGCTTTATGGCATTACAAGTTATGACTTATTCTTTAGGAACTGCATGGATTTTTCCCTGAACTTCTTGGAAGCATWTTTGGATATGACAGTAACAGTGACTGGGGGCTCAAATCTTCTGTTCAGAGATCAGGGACATATAACCAGCTTAAGATGTTTTTGGGTCCAACAGGAYCTATTTTTAACCTCATCAATAAGCTCCAAGTGGATGGTTACTTGAAGTATGAATTCTTCATCAAATGTCTCCCAGTAAGTTGTAATAAATGAAGGGAGGYACAGACACCCTGTGACATGTTTGTTAATTTGTATGTGTATTTAATAATAATTTTATCTTATTTAGCTTCCTACGCAAAACTCCTTATCTGAAGGTAACATTCCACTATTGTACCACAACAAGATCCAGATGTCAAATGTTGCCAGTGCAAATTCATCAAGAGTTGTACTTCTCAGTATCCTTTGAAGCTGGCATTAAAATCAGCACTTAAGCAATAACAGAGTATAATGCACTAGTCAGTAGAATGCCCCACACCTAATCACCCAGGGATTACGGGGAATGAGTGGGGATTTAGTGAGGCAATAGACATTGTTTGGACCATGTAAATTGAAGTGCTATACGGCTTTAGCCTCGATTAGGGATTTAATAATTCTCGTACCCAGACCCTACTCTCGTGGCCTGTCCTAGGCTCTGGGACACCCTATGAACTGAAAGCAAGAAATCTTGCTTGTGCTTCTCCTTAACAAGTATTTTAAAGATGCATTTGAGTACTACATGTTTCATTTTGCATATTATATCATCTATCAGCAAAACATCAATAGGGTAAGGAAGCAGGAAGACATTAAACKTGTTGAATAAAACAGTTTATGATATCTGAGGCATTTTACATATTAGGCATTTAAGGAATGGTATGTTTAGAAATCATTTGGCATGACTCTGAGTAAAATATTTAAATTGTCCAGAGTAACTGTTATAACTAACTTATTCCTACTATTTTTTGTGAGTCTTCAACTTTATAACTTTCATGATTTTTATTAAAGACTAGTAAAAAAAAAGTGGACCCAAAAATTCCTATCAATTTAAGGCAAATTATTTGGTAAAAATGTGAAGGCAAGTGCCATCAAAATATGCCTGTTCCAAAATTGGTACAAATAAGATAATTGCGTTTCACACTAATTTCTTGATATAGTTCTATTKCCATCTTAAGTTAAGTTAACATTTGAAATTAGTTTAAATAAGTTAAAATTAATTTATCATGATATCGCCTTCAATAAATGATATTTATAAATTTTTCCAGGATGACTATTTACAGTGTCACCTTTATTAAATTTGTTTGAATGCTAGGGAATACTGGAACTTATACATGGCCTCCTAATAGAGGGTTATTTGATTAATATTCAGTTATGWTTATTATGGAAATGTTTTCAATAGATATCTCAAGATTCAAGCTGGCTGAATGAAACCAATTTTGTGTATCTGTCAATTTTAGAAGATTACTTGAACCACTTTTTACCTACTTTACCACAACCTCCTGGTGATGGTACATCGGTACCTTATGCATCCAGTGTGCAGCACACTTCATGGTACAGCTTTGTCTTATTTGTACACATATTTATATGTTTTACAATCGTATGAGGAAGTGGCTGATCCCATTAAAGAGTGCTCAATACACATAAAGTGTAGAGCTAGTTATATATATATGATATCAAAGAGGCAAGATTTCAAATGCTGTAACTCCGAGTTTCATGCTACGCACTCATCAGACAGTATTTATATATGTTTTACAATAAAAAATAAGCAGGACGGGGAATGGCAATATGGATATATTATGATCAAGCAGTAAAGGCAATGTTGGACAATATTGCCAGATGAATAATAATAAAATCAAATATACAAAATATATGCAGCAGATGCAGACACAAATTGATTCTTAATTTGTACAACTTGGTTATAACAATTGATAAAAGCATTGTAATTAAACAGTGCAATGTTATTATTGCATTTTCCCTTAATTACATGATCTAATAGACATCCTGATATGAGCTTGTAGCTCATGAATTATTATAATTTTTAAGGCACATTTACACTTGCGAGTTTTGCTGCAATTGTTCTGGTGATTTAAAAAAGTATAATATAGATTTTGTCTTATCCTCCTGAGGAGACATTTAGTTCATCTCAGTGTACTTAATGAAAGTTTAATTCTTTAGCATTATGCTCTAGCATGAAAATGACCACAAAAATCACCGCAAAAATCGTTGCAAAAATCGCCAGTGTGAACAGGCCTTTAGAGATTTGCATTTTGTCTTTTATTCTAAAGAACTAAACATTATTGATATTTCCAGGTTTGGTAGTTTAAACAGACTTCCGCAAAGTCAAACACAATTCACTGGGCTGATACGTAGTTCACCAGTAGGAAATGCAAACTTAGCAATGCAGGGCCACTGTCCCTATGACCAGAGCGCTGGAGATATATGGAAATCTGAAACATTTTTACAGGTATCTGTAAATCTGTCAATCATTCATTTATATCAAACAAAGTCAARCAAGGCATATTCAGGCTTTTATAGTCAAAGTTTTTGAGTTTTACAATAGAATTATATATATTAAGAACCAGTTCCAGCTCATTTTTGCCATCCTTTGCAGATATGATTTGAATGAAATTTGTGCTATTTTCCAGGTACTGATAGAATTCTGGCTAAACCAGAACACTATGGACTCAGTGACAAGAAATGTGTTGTCTCATGGGGAGGTAATTACTTTTCTTTAATTGTGGTAGTGATGATAGTGGTGAGAATTGCTGTTGGCTGTGGTTGTCATTGTGATTACTTATTAATTACTTACTGATGACTGAACAAATAAATGGTTTATAACATCATCAAAGATATTTTTTGTGTTTTCACACATTACCTGTAATTCTCTCTGCCATCTAAAAATGTTGAGATGTTGTACATGATTTTAAGACCCTGGAAATGAAAAAAAAACTATCTATAAATTCTCTGATGTCTGCCAGTGTATGTACTAGAATTTACAGTCATATAGTACATTAATTTAAAACATTTATAATATGGAAGTCTTCTTGGCTGTCACAGGTAGACTAAAACAAGAACATCCTGCATAGTACTGGAATATTACCTCCTGATGATCAAAAAAAACATTGATTAACAATGATGATTGCCATGATACCAAGGTCTCCAGTACCTACATTTTATAATTGTAAGCATTTGTTTATTGTGTCATCCACAGGTGTACTTTATGCCGAGTGTTGATTTAGTGAGAGCCATAAGAATGCTTGTCAAACAGATCCATACTTTTGTGTATAGTTCAGGCATAGAAGCTCTGAACCACCCAGCTGTCAATCCTTTGGATGAACTCAGAAGGTACAGATACTAAATATTCATTTAACTAACCCTTTTATCTTGTGAGTAGCTAAGTTAGGTTATATTATGTTGGTGGATAGCTAACTTAAGATATAGGGGCCCAACTGGTCTCAGTAATGTCCTGAATATTTATTTTTGATTTGACATCTCTGGCTGAATCTTGAAGGATTCTCTTAGGGTCKTATATTATTGATTTTAAATGTCTTTAAAGGTTGTGTTGTCTCGGGTTTCCTTTAAAATATTAGGCTTAAAATCATGGAGATCGTCAAACGAGAGTGTTGCACAATAGTGTTACTTTGATTTTACCCTCAACAGCCATTATTACAGCAGTTGATAAAAATGTTCATTCTTATTTTATGGTGATAATAAAGAACCACCATACTGTACCTTGATGATTATAGAAATATAGATTTACACAAATACAATTTATAAAACCTTCAGTGATCAGATGTTTTTTATATTTCTTCAGGGGCATTATACCACAAATGCTGCAAAAAAAGTTTTATTGTTTCTTGAGGCATGGGTTTGCACATTGGCCCTTAGATCCTTCATTTCGTGTGGTGAGTACTGAGTACAATRAATAATAAGCTATGCACTTAATAATTTTATCTTTGTTTTTTTTAGATTGTAGAAACATGGTTAAGCTTTATACAGCCCTGGAGATATGCTAACAACCCAACATTGTCAAAACCTGAATCATCACAATTGTACAGTCCAGAATGGTATATACAAAAATGCTTTTTTTTCGAATTTTTTGGATTTGTTAAAAGATCTTATAGGGCATGGTAAAAAGTAGCTTTCTGCCAAATTTGATTGTTCTAGTGCCATTAATAGCAGAGATACAAGCGATGTTATGGTCGGGTGACTACATACAAACGCTTGTAAATTTGCTYTGGTTCATAAATTTATGAACCAGAGGAAATTTACAAGTATTTGTTGTATGTGTTCACCCGACCATAAAATGGATTGTATTTCCACTATCAATGGCACTAGGACACTCAAATTTGGCAAGAATGCATTGAAAATGATGCACTTTCAGAATATGGAGGCCAACTTTGAAGAATCAGAAAATTTTGTTTTGTGACGTCTTCACTTCAGACTGTGGTAATGCTTAGGTATAGAGTACCGAAGTGAAGACGTCACAAAACAAAATGTTCTGATTCTTCAAACATGGCCTCCATATTCTGAAAGTGCATCATTTTTAATGCATTCYTGCCAATTTGAGTGTTCTAGTGCCATTGATAGCAGAGATACAAGCCATTTTATGGTCGGGTGAACACATACAACAAACGCTTGTAAATTTGCTCTGGTTCATAAGTTTATGGTACTCTATTGAATTGTAATGTACATGGTCTTATGGTCTTTATTTTTATCTGGCTATATAAACTCTGATATCTTCTCATAATATCCCACACCTGTTTCTGGACAAGATGTCCTGCATCTTTATCAAGTTAGGTCTGGATGGATGTTCAAGTCATAATGTCTGATTTCTTTGGATAACAGTGCCTCAAAAGAAAAATATTAATCACTCATTGAGTGAACTTGAAAATTTCCAGAACAAAATCTTTTTATCGAAAGCCAACTTGCATTTTCTGCAAAATAGATGTTCTCTGTTTTGATCCAAACAAACTAACTTTGTTGATACTGTTCTTCCTGATGTGTTATATTTAAACCCTTGTTTTAAAATTGTTCTTGTTCTTGTTGTTCAAGGTGTAGTTTTGTTCATGATAACTTCCCATTTTTCTCGGTCATCATTCAAGAGTTTGTCCTTCGAGCATTAAAACTAGACTTCCACTCATCCAAAGATGTTTTTATCCTTTTGAGGGTTACCAAGGTACAAATTCTCGTAATTTAATCAGTTATTAATAGGCCTTTAGCATGAAAYGGTCACATGGTACAAAATCCGCCATACTGGATGGCAAAATACCCACTTGGATTTTCAAAACAAAGAAAGTCAAGTCTGACGGGCTACGTTCCTTTTGTTTTTGAGGTAGTTTACATTCTTTTGCCATCCAGTATGGCGGATTTTGTACCATGTGACCGTTTCATGCAAAAGGACTATTATTGATGTTGTTGAGGTACATTGATTTAGCAGAGTGATTGATTATTTAACTTATTCCACTAAAGGTATTAGCTCAAGAAGGTTTAATGGATGCAATTGAAGGAGGTTAGTTGCTTATATACTACACACTGCTATGCTATATTCAAACAATAAAGTAATAAAACAATAAAACACGTTTTTGAGTTGAGAGCTTGAAGCTGAAAATTTTGAGAAAAAACCTCGGTATTTTTCTAGGCGAGAAACTCCTTTATGAAASCCCCARAGGTGGTTTAAGAGGATCGCATTCTGGAATGGGTGTGGCTATAGGGTCTTCAGTRAGGGCAAACTATTTGGACCTGGAAGGACACACATACAACTACGTCCTTGATGAAAAGGTATTAAGCAATGTTCTTGTGAACTAACATTGTCATTATTTTCATCAGCCGTCATCTCTGTATTCCTGATGATGGTCATTGAATGATGATGATGGGGGCTTTTGAGCGGGGTTGAGTGAGAATGGGGTGAGAGAAATCTCTCTAGCCCACTCTCAACGATCCCTTTTCCGAGGATGGGCTCACCGTGTGCACTTCTCTAACTGTCCTTTGAAGATCATCATCATAACTGCAGCCATAACTATCATACTCATCATCATCGTTTCCTTACTTTTGTTCTTGGCAGTTGCGTTTTCTTGATACTGATCCGTTAAAACTACTAGAAATAAATATAAAAGACAAAATGGTGGGAACTAGTGGTAAACTAGTGTGAGCTGTGTCAATGTTTCTAAAGAAACTGAGTTGTGTAAAAAGATAAATTTAACACCGTAAAAAAAGTATGTGAACACAACTGTTTATAAAAGACAAAAACGTCACGTTCGAGGTAATCAGTTTTGTTTCTACTAGAAACTAATTTGAGGAAATACAAATTCTCGTATTTCAACTTTCGGTAACTATGTATGTCGGATGTTTAATTGGAAAAGCTGTGCGTCTGACAAGTTTTTGAAAAGGCGATAAAGATTCACAAAATACTTGACACTGATTGCCATCTGTTTTCTTTAGCTTCAACGTCTTATAGGCAACGTATCTAGTGCTCTTAGGAACATTAGACATCCAGGTGGAACATTTGGCCAGAGTACGCAAACTAGTGGGCAAGGCTCCATGGGTTGGTTAAAAACTTTGTTCTCCGGCGAGTTCTTGGACAGTGACTACAGCGCGAACAAAGATACAGATAAAGTGACTTCGTATTTGGAACAGTCTTATAAACATTTAGCAAGTATTGCTAAGGTAAGACGAGCAGCTAATTCAGAACACCGGGCAGTAAATTTTATCGTTTGTCGTATTATCATTTCATAGTTGAATTCTAAGAAACAAAAACTCTTTCACACAGGATTTGAATTGGGTGGTAACGTAAAAGGCAACGCGTTAGCCGATTACTGGGTTGGATCCATCAATTTTGAAAAGGGGGACCGTCGATAAAAATGGCGGGAAATTTTCGCGGGAATTTGCCTTTCGAAAGAGAAAATGATAAATAAAAGGTGTACAAATTGTTTTGAGAGTTATTTTATTATTTGATGTTTTCTTGTTGCCTTTTTTAGTTGTTTTGTAGTTTTGGCCCCTTCGCACCCCCTCCCCCCTAAATCCGCGCATGGATTAGGTCTATTATTCAGCATTTGTAGCCTCTTTGAATAACGGTCTACCACCATCTGGTCAGAAAATCGTTTTCAATTATGAATAAAACCTCATTTCGCTYTTCTCTTTGGGTTTCTTCTGTTGAAAGCAAATCGAACATGCGTTTTTCTTTATTATTATTATTTATTACACTCACTTTTCTAGATCAGCTCTGACGTCACCGATTCGGGACAACCCTCAACACCAAGTGGAGGACGTGAGAGACTGTCTCCAAGTATTGCATCATCGAGCACTATATCACACGGCTCGATACCAGAATGCATTCAAACAGATCATGGATTCATACTTACTGAGAGAGGAAAATATCAGGTAATATTGATTTATTAACCTCGCTTTCTCGAGCTGTACRGGAAAATATCACCGAGTAAGCGAGATTATTAGTCTCTTTTATTATATTTTTATTTTCACCTTGTCGGATGGTTGATTGAATTATTTTGTGGTTGTTTTGTAGTTGATTATCATATTGGTTTGCCAATTGATGGACGGATAGGTGGATTGTTTAATTGGCTATTTGATTCTGTTTGCCTGTTTTTTTTGTGATTGATTGATTGATGGATGGATGGATAGATTGGCTGTTTGATTGATTAGATCAATCATCGACTGATTCATCCATCCATTTTTCCCGCCATCCTTTTATTCATTCATCCATCCTTTACCGATATCAACTGGGTTATTCACCCGGGTTATTTCCTTTTCTTGTTTCAGATGATCAATGGAATTCGTCGTTTTGAAGTGCATTACACGGGTGATCCTGAATTACAACCCATTCGAAGTTACGAAAACCCGACCTTAGTTCGATCACTCTATCATTTTTCAACCTATCTAAACAACAAGGTGCGTACTGATTATTTTTTCGGGTTGCACCAGCATCAACAGCAGACATCGACTACCACTTTGACCATGATGGYAGAATTTTATTTCACGAGAAAAAAAATACCCATCCTCGGGAACCCAGGGGTTATCTTCTGTCGTTCGTTCCTCAAGTGAGGAACGAACGACAGAAGATAACCCCTGGGTTCCCGAGGATGAAAAATACCGTGCATAACTGCGCCCTCGTTGTGCCACCTCGATACGATAATACAGTTTTTTCTTGCAGATTGGTGACAAACTACACACCATCTACACATCGCCAGGCTACCTTAGCAGTATCGCTTGCAAGCTTTCACCTTGCCTCAGAAACCCTACCAATGATCCTTTGAGAACTCCATTTCCAAGCACACCTGCMCATAATGCAACTGTWACYTCGCCCTCGYCCCGAAGCATCCCAAATCCACGACTAAGCCTACGATTCCTGGCATCMTACAAGACTATGTTTTATTTCGCTCTGTTTTATTTATTGTGTAGAGTTTTTTCGTTGGGCTCGTTGACAATTCTAGCTCTGTTTATTCTTGTATTATTMTTCTCTATCCTAGGAAATGTTTGCCCAGTTCATAGAACAGAGGACGACGAGGTACAGAAGAAATTGTTTTAAGATTTTGAAGCATAACTAAGTTGTGTTCCCTTCCAATCAGACTAGCAAAACAATAATCTTTGACTACCAGAAAAAGACACTGTGTAGTTTTATAKCGATAAAGATGCATATATCACGTGATATTTTCCTAATAAAAGATAACTGAAAGTGATGTCTTTTTTGCCCGTTCTGAAAAGGTTGCGTAAAGCGTAATAGTCAAGCAAAACCGAAAACCGCGCTCTACTTGTGATCGTATGCGCGTGTACCAAAACGAAGTCATATGTCCATRTTCAACAGAGGTGTTGCACAATGTCAGAGGACGAACTATTGAAAATAATAATTAAGTTCTTACTGGCAACTTGACGTTGCTATGACAACTAGAATAATTKTAGTTCATTTGAGTCCATGGACCGCGGAGCAGGGGGGCTGGGGGGCTACAGTCCCCCCAATAATTTTTCCGACATTTTGAATTTTCTTAAATAAAGAAGCGAATAGCCTCCTTATGAAATTTAACCATATATATTCTATAAAGATTGTGCAAAAACTGAGCGTGAACAATTAAAATTCAAGCTCTTTGGGGATTTATTGATRATATCGCTGAACGTGAGTGCGGTAAAAATTGATAACGCCTCAAAACGCTGGAAATGACATTTCCGAGAGTTAAGATTTCAAAAAATTTCCGAACCCCCCTAATACCTCCTCGCCTCTAGCCCCCCCAAACAAATTTAAGCTCCGCGGTCATTGGAGTCGAATATGAAATAACTGTTTCTAGGCTCGTTCTTACTACGTAAGCCTGAAGTAAGAACGAGAACCACTTTTTGAAAAGTTTTCTAACTATATATAGGAAAATTAAAGAGGCGGAAAATGAATAAGATGATCGAACCTGAGTTTTTGGAATAATAATAATAAAAATCGCTGCATTTTAAATAAGAATTTTCAATTCCTAAGCTACTTAGCTTCCGGTAGAAAGAGTATGTATCCTGGATGGTGGGCTAACGGTAAACTAGTGTATCCAGGAGACGAGAAACTGTCTTAGGTATGTGGGCTTCCTGTTGTTTATTGAACTGACGAGGACTGGGACACTTGATATAAAACTTTGCGAAATTCTGAATCGGTGATGAGATACTCTTTCAATAATATTTGCATTACGAAAGTGTTGGCAGGGCTATCGCTTTCTTGTCTTGCCTCTTTACTCCTTCCAACGATGGCACAATCTCCTCTTTTCAAGGTGACAGCAAGCAAGTTTTCTCTTCATCTCCATGAAATCCTTMGATCTGGCGATCTTGAGCAAAATCTGTTTTACTCTCCATCAAGCATTCTTGTTGCTCTTGCAATGACTTATCTTGGTGCTCGGGGCAACACAGCAAAACAAATGATCACTTCTTTCCACCTTGACGAAATACCAGAAGACCAAATCAAACAAGAGTTCCACAGTTTTCTTGAGTCTCTGAGWAAGAGCAACGCGAATGGAAACCACATAGCAATGGCCAACAGATTGTTTGCACAGATGGGATTTGAAATCGTGCAGAAGTTTCAAGAGGAAACTAGCCAGTTCTTCAATGCTCAGTTAGCTATGGTCGACTATRTGAAAAATGCTGATGRAGCCAGAAGGGAAGTSAACGAATGGGTAGAAAAGCAAACGAATGGAAAAATTSAAAATCTAATYCCGGATGGTCTTTTTACCCCACTAACACGACTTACACTGGTGAATGCTGTTTACTTCAAAGGCTCCTGGATGAATCGCTTTGACCCTAATGGGACACACACAGGGCAGTTCCATGTGACACCCTCCAAAGAAATCACTGTGCAAATGATGTACCAGTCTGAGGAATTCAAGTATTTTGAAGATCAAGACTTAAACTGCCARAYCATTGAACTTCCTTAYTCAGGAAAGAAGATGTCCATGATTGTCTTCTTGCCAAATGAGGTTGATGGTCTGACTAAACTAGAGCAGTCTCTCAATTATGATAGGCTTGGTCAAGCATTGAGCAATCTCAAAGCTACCCAGCCTGAAGAAGTGGAAGTCACTTTACCCAAGTTTAAACTAACTGATGAGTTTTCATTGAARGAARTRTTAAACAARATGGGTGCTGTTGACATGTTTACTCAAGGTCAGGCAGATTTTTCTGGAATCAGTACCAGTGAGCAATTACATGTCTCCGAGGTAGTCCACAAGGCTTTTGTTGATGTTAATGAAGAAGGGACAGAGGCTGCAGCTGCAACTGGTGTTGGAATAATGGCAATGAGCATGCCAATGAATCCAGTGTTCAATGCTGATCATCCATTCTTATTTCTGRTTCATCACAATGACAGTGGTGCTATACTCTTCCTTGGAARAGTGGCCAAACCACAGCAATAGACAGATGCAAKCAACTAGGCATGCTACCAATGATAATAATTAAGATAGCTAATTGTGCAAAAATGGAAAATGATTTTAATTGAATTTTGTATCAATAAAAGTACAAGTATATGAAACAATATTTTCATACTAGAAAAGGAACTAAAATAATGTAAATCATGCACCTTCTTCATAGAGTTTATGAGTAGATATGACAAGTTGTACATGTTGTGCCGTGCCAAAGAAAAATAATAAATTTAGAGATAAAAGTAAAACTACACATAAATTTGACAAGTGAATATCTATACTAATACTACTGGTATACTTTTGCATTTTTTGATGGTCTGTATGCAATGTTTTGTAAAACCTATGCACAACAAGTTGCTGAAAAATTTGGTTAACACATCAATCAAGTTTCTCATAAAAAAAATTGCGTCTGACTCTTTCTCAGCCACCTCACTTTCACATGCAAATTACAAGGGTCCGGAATGGAGAAAGACAGAAATGTCTTCTTCATTGTTATGTACTCATATCTTACCGCTATGTGGAATGGAAGCATTCAGGGAGGATCCAGGATTGTATGAGAGCAATGGA